GTGAGAATGGAGTTTATTAATATTATCTCACGAGAACTTCAGAATATTAACCAAGGAACCTACCAAAACGATAGCAACCTACTGTCAACATCAACTCCAGCAAGCAGTAGATGTTCCAGCCGAATTCATTACATTTTAACACCAACTCACGAAGAAACACAAAGTTCTTCTATAACAATAAATGATGAACCTGAAGAACCAAATCAACCACACTCACAAACATCGTCTGACTTACAGAATTACATTGCCAACTTAGAGCTCCTAGGTTCCTAAAGATTGTAGATGCCTACATTATGTTATGTAAGTTACTTTAATAAAATAAATATTTCGTAACTATGCACTGTATTAATTATGTAATAACTTAACTTAACTATGTAATAAATTCTTAATAAATACTTAATAAATTACTCTGAAGAATCTCCTTGTCAAGAATTGAAACGTTAAGAAAAAAAGTTTATGTTGTTTTTTTTTTAAATAAGTCATACAAAGAACCCGAAACCCTCAGAAAAGGTACATCCATACAATGAAAATAAGGTCCAAGAAAAATATACACATTTATCTTACCTTAAACATATTGTAAGTTTTTCCCCAGGTTCAATGCACCGTCTGAAATTTGAATATCGTTTTATATCTTCAGAAATAGCTCTTAAAATATAATCATAAGTAGCTATATCCATTCGATAATACTCTCTAAACTTCTCGGGGTAATTTCGAAGCTTTAGAGAAGTTTTTCTATACTCCCCTTCTTCGCGTGATTGGTATAATGTGTGCATCCAATAACGGCGCTTCGATTTTTTGTATTTATTAGTAATATTTTCCATTAGCCATTCATCCCATTCATCGGAATCTGAGGAATTCATTATGAACCTCTTCTCTGCACTTTACCAAATAATAATAACCCCGTGTTTACTCGTCGGGTATTATCCACCGTACAAAACCGTACAAATGAAGCCACTACATCGGACGTGTCTGGTTTAATCTGATCTTGTCTGGTCTGGTCTGGTCTGGTATGGTCTGATCTGACCTGAACAGGCGCCAATGTAGCCTCTACCTTAGCCAATGAGAGTGCATAAAACCGCCGTAACCATAGCAACCATCCTCTAGATAGTTTATCAGAAGAATGGTAAAAGTGGTGAGATAATGTCAACTGAGTAAGACGTGCTTGTGCTGCGCTCCGCTGAAATTAGTCGTTAAGGCTCCTTAACCGCTTGATGGGAATATGTTTGACGACAGAGAAACGAATGTTCAAAAAAGGATAGCATGTACTGGCAAGACATTCCCACTGTTTTCCTATTGGGTAATATGCATT